TATCAATTAAAAGTAAATCCATGATTTTAACTATTCAGTTACTCTCTTCACAAACACCTATCAATTAAAACTAAATCCATGATTTTAGCTATTCAGTTACTCTCTTCACAAATACCTATCAATTAAAACTAAAACCATGATTTTAACTATTCAGTTACCCTCTTCACAAACACCTATCAATTAAAACTAAATCCATGATTTTAACTATTCAATTACTCTCTTCACAAATACCTATCAATTAAAAATAAAGCCGTGATTTTAACTATTCAGTTACCCTCTTCACAAACACCTATCAATTAAAACTAAATTCATGATTTTAACTATTCAGTTACTCTCTTCATAAAAACTATCAATTAAGACTAAATCCATGATTTTAGCTATTCAGTTACGCTCTTCACAAATACATATCAATTAAAACTAAAACCATGATTTTAACTATTCAGTTACCCTCTTCACAAACACCTATCAATTAAAACTAAATCCATGATTTTAACTATTTAGTCACCCTCTTCACAAATACCTATCAGTTAAAACTAAATGCATGATTTTAACTATTCAGTTACCCTCTTCATAAATACCTATCAATTAAAACTAAAGTCGTGATTTTAACTATTCAGTTACCCTCTTCATAAATACCTATCAATTAAAACTAAATACATGATTTTAACTATTCAGTTACCCTCTTCATAAATACCTATCAATTAAAACTGAAGCCATGATTTTAAATCTAGATATTAGGGGGGGGAAAAAAGTAGTGTTTCCTAAGAATCGTATAAGAAGAATGCATAAACGTTTTTGAATTGAAGGAAAGTAAACTAACTTGAGCCATTTATTTGATTCAGATGCTAATCGGTAATAAAATGTAATTTATGGTTAATAGATTAAATAAAAATTGAAAAATACACTATTTATACACCATTGCTCATGCTATTTTTTACGAAATTTGACGAGCGTTTAAAATATTTGGAAAAATATTCTTATATTACAGAACAAAGTTTATGATCAAATAAACAATCTTAATAAATAAAACATTTTAGAGGTTTATTGAGTTCAGTCTCTTGTATACATTATTGCCTTATCGAAGATGACAATTTTTAAGTTTTATTGAATTATCTGCATGAAAGTGAAGTGTGAACCACACATCATGAATTTTACATGGTAATACGATACCAATAATACAATTGACTGAAAACTTAAAGAAATGATAAATATTAACAGTTTTTCACCACAGAAAAGTGATATTCCAGTTCAGTCGACTTCAAATGTTGAATTGTTTTTACTATCAAAGTGCAGAAGAAACGAATAAACACAAGACGAGAAAATGCCAAAAGTTTGAATAAATTAACACAATTTAGATAACTACTTAGCAATCTATAAAACAGGGATGTTTCACACAATTCGCGTCAAATTAGAGAGTATACAATTAAGATGCTCTTTTAAGAAATGCTAGTTTAATAACACCTGAATGTTACCCATATTTATCTAGGTTAAAACAAGATACTTTTTTATTTTACAATTTTGAAGCACGTGTAATCAATATCATAAAACGGAGCTGTAGAAACCAAAGCAAACAACAACAACAAAAAAAAAGGCTGGAATAAATGAGGTTATTACACAATAATAATATAAGGCCTGTTGTTTTTGTTTTACCGCCAAACATAAATTATTTCGTTATTATTTACACTGTATATAACACTAAAAAATTCTCTGTGTTTCAAATGTATTGCACAGTTGTTATTGTTACTGTAAAACTGAACTGCCCTACGAACAAAAGCGCTAAGTCTGTAACACAGTTGTAAGAAACAAGTACTAAAACGGAAAAGGAGAATAGTTTAAAACTTGATTTTTGACGACAAATATAGGGAAACTTATTTTTCAAACAATAACTCATTCAATAACTAGAGCTTTTGTAGTTATTTCAACATAGTTGTAAATAGTTATATGTAGTTAAAAAAATTTCGTTCATTACAACAACGAGCCCCCCCCCCCCCAGCGGTATGTCGCCCTTTGTGTAGCTTTGTGCCTAACTACAAAAATACAGCAATAATTAGTTTAAAAATCTGCTATAATCAGCTGAGTATCAGTAGATCTTACAAGCTAGTTACCAAATATAGGATGAAGGTTTGTTTGTAATTAAGCACAAAGCTCCACAATGGGCTATCTGTGCTCTGCCCACCACGGGTATCGAAACCCGGATTCTAGCGTTGTAAGTCCGCAGATATACCACTGTGCCACTGGGGGGCAGAATGAAGATTTGAGAGGGAAACAAATTACTTGAAACTGATACACTTTTCAAAAACAAAGTAAATAAATCAAAAGAAAACATTAATAGGTTAACGTCACAAAAGAAATGTTCAATATTTTCATTATATAAAACACGACTGGATTAAAATAAAACATTTATTGACAAGAATAACTTACCTCGTAAGCGCTGGTCAACCCCAGGTTGTAAAAGATTGGCAGGTACAAATGAGCGGACATAGGTATTACAAAAAAGTAACTGATGATGATCATCCAGTATTGTGTGCCATACTGATAGACTTCTGCAGGGGTCCCCAGCAACGTGATGGCTGACATAAAGCTGGCTAACACCGACATTGACACGGGAAATACACTCATGGACCGATTACCCATCAAGAATTCCTTGGTGGTGCTTTGTTTACTCCCACTACAGGCGTAGTAGATCCCGATAGCAGCTGATACAGTTAACATCCCTGCAAACACCACGTAGTCTGGTGTACCGAACCTGGAGACCAATTCAGCTGGTGAACTCTCCGAACTGGTGGTGGTGGTACTAATCATTGTTGTGGTCGTCTCAGCCATAACGGTCACTGTGTCAAAATCAGTTCTGTGTACGAGGAATATATTTCTTTTCAGTGAACATTTTTCAATTATTTGTTTTGTAGATTTAAATCGTGTTTCTTGGTATGTTATTCACACAAACGGCGAATAGTTACTATATGTTTAAAAATGTTTTCAGTAGAAACAGTTAGATAAACAACAGAAGGAAGAGGAAGAAGCTGATTGGATACTGACTGTGACACAAGAGAGATCTCATTAGTTTTAAGGATTGCCGGTAGAGGTAGTCTATTATAAACCAACAATCATATACTAAGTAAAAATTCTTAAACACGACAACACGAACATAATTAAGGTATTATTTCATAAAACGTTAATTCACGCTCATATATTTTATTACTATCCTATAACACATGATGTGAACTAATTAGTAATTAGTAACTAGTACTAATAAAAAAATAATTAATATCTAGACCTAGGTGGTCTTACAGGCTACCAATCATGGCAGCATTTTTTGTCCACAAACACAGGAATATATTTTAAACTTAGATGTATAACTCATTCGACAGGAATGTACTCGAAAATTTAAAAAGGTCAATGTCTCAGCTATCGACTGTATTTTATGTTTTCTTAATTTTCATTGGTAAGAATACAAAAACAATGCAAATACACTTGAAACCGGTTTTCAACACTCTTCAGATAGTTCGTGACAAAAGTAAATAATAGCCTTAGAAGTACATGTTCTATAATACATGGCTTAATGTTCTATAATTCATGGCTTACTCGTATGTTTACAATTAATAGCTAAACTACAGTCCACAAGAAGCTCATTTCTATTTATACATTTAAATTATTTTTATTTTATGCCAGCATATTAACCAAGGACTATATTACCGGCCCGCCATAGACAGGTGGTTAAGCCACTCGACTCGAAATCTGAGGGTCGCGGGTTCGAATCCCCGTCCCACCAAACATGCTCGCCCTTTCAGTCGTGGGGGCGTTATAATATGACGGTTAATCCCACTATTCGTTGGTAAAATAGTAGCCCAAGAGTTGGCGGTGGGTGGTGATGACTAGCTGCCTTTCCTCTAGTTTTACACTGCTAAATTAGGGACGACTAGTGCAGATAGCCCTCGTGAAGCTTAGGGGCGAAATTCAAAACAAACAAACAAAACTATATTACCAAGTTGTCCAGTTCCAGAGTAAAATCGTGCATTATTTCAACACGTTAAACACAACTCTTGGTGATCAAATAGAAACTACATTACCAAGTTGTCCAGTGCCACAGTAAAATCATGCATTGTTTCAACATGTTAAACACAACTCTTTGTGGTCAAATAGAAACTATATTACCAAGTTGTCCAGTGCCACAGTAAAATCATGCCTATTTGACCACCAAGAGTTGTGTTTAACGTGTTGAAACAATAACAAGTGTTTGAGGTATTCGTGGTTTTACAAACCAAAAAAAAAAATGAGAATTTAGGTTAGAGAACGAACGTTAACCGCGTTATATGATATCTATAGAAAAAAAACTCCCTTCGCATACTTATAAACAAAAATACAAAGTCATAGGACAAGAACTTTTGCGCAAACGTTAGTTTATTGTAAGGTCTTTATTAATTAACTATCGTTTAATTTTCTATTGCGTGACGAAAATACATTCAAAGGCATAACAAAAGTATCTTGTGTCCAATCTGTACGACCATTACCCATAATAAAACGCGTGAAATATATACAAGTTTGTATTCTTGTTACGCATTCATTCGTTTTGTATTGAAAGTTATTTGTGCGTCAGGCAAGTAATTTGAATAATTAAAAAACGCCGTACTAACAGTAACGAGAAGGGGTACTTCTTTAGATCAGATGGCTGACGCGCAAATTTTTCATTAGTAATGTAAGTTCAACCAGCTGTTAATGTTAAGAATTTACAAAACACTACTTGCCACATGACCTGTGACTGATATAATAAACTCTAGCCCGGCATGGCCAGGTGGTTAGGGTGCTTGACTCGCAATCTGAGAATCCTCGCCATTTCAGATTTGGGGGACGTTATAATGTGACGGTTAATCCCACTATTCGTTGGTAAAAGAGTAGCCCAAGAGTTGGCGGTGGGTGGTGATGACTAGCTGCCTTCCCTCTAGTCTTACACTGCTAAATTAGGGACGGCTAGCGCAGATAGCCCTCGTGTAGCTTTGCTCGAAATTCTAAACAAAATAAACTCTGACCCCTGTGAAGAGTTTCCAACAACAATTGTAAGCATACATGAACGAATCTCACGTTTTCTTGAATAGTTTGATTGTTGGTTTTACT